AAGGAACAAGTCGATAATATGCGGTTCGTAACGTCGTACCGAAATTTTTAGATGCCTATAAGATAGCGCGTTAACGAAAACACCCGAATAGATCCAATAAGTTGTCTGAGAGGACTGGAGGAATTGATTTGATTATATGGTGAACTCTTCGTGTAAATGACGCGTGAGCTGAAAAGCTAGGAAGCATTGGACAGCTGTTTCGACCTGGTTGGGTTTCAGCAGCAATGCGAATACGATTCAACTCAATATTAGAAAAACTGAATGGACTGTAAAAAGACTCTATTAAATTGATTTATCATGGAAAATGTGTCCCTGGGGGTGCGAAATGCTACTGATCTCATACAAGAAAAATGATGAAAACACTGAAACGACGGCCAAATCCATGTCCTGATACTTCAGTGCAGTAAATACACTCTAAAAATGACTTTATGTGTGATGGTTAATCAAGTTGGAAAGTTATGGATACCAGTTGATTTTCTGGGATCATGGGGAGAAGAAAATCGTCCAAAACTTTGAACTGAGAGTCATTTATCTTAATCTGCCAACTGAGACTTTCCGTCGTTAAAAATTGCAGCTGACAGTGTCAGAGCATCCACCGCAGTCTATGTGCGAAGGTCATCTTGCTGTTATACCGGTAGTACAGGAATTCATGAGAATAGTCCAGCTTGGATTTTTCGCGTCACGCAATATCATACTGTTCCGCTCATGCGACTTAAATCCAAAACAACCCGATCATGAGTCTATGACCGGCCGAGATCCGTGCTTATGGTTTCATCATTTTGAGTGGTTTGGTGCCAGTGCGGTACGCGTTGCACACTCAGCCTGGCGTAATGTCCGTCGTGGTTTCCACTTACTTGTTATATGATTTGAGGCAGCACACAAGAGTTGTTCCGTGCCCAAATGAGAGGTTTTTCATCGCATTTCGCGTGTATTCCTAGGGTTGTAACGATTTGAGCGTTTTAAAAATTTACAAACCCGCGGCTATCGATGCTTTTTTCATCAATTTACCTTTCCGCATTGCCTTTTAGCCTCACCTCATCGTCATGTAACCGAATTCAACACAAACAAATCGGCACAGTGTTCAGAACAAATGAAGGAACATCGTGCATGTGAAACACGAATAACGAGAGGATCAGATGTGCACGTCGTGATATAAATAATTGGACGTAGTTTCTTCATCCCTGATAGGACTGCAGAGAATAAAACCGGGTGCTAACACAACCCAAATGAAGAGGAACCACTTCGAAAACAGACCAATACCTGTACGACTTTGTAAAGTTTATAAATCACCTACACTGGTAATAAATGTTCTTAACTTAATTTTTACTTTCGAAATGGTAAAATTCAAAAGCCGTATCGCATTTCACAGTTACGCTTTGTTATTGCATCGGTACTTAAGATGGACAGTGAGTAGTACTCAAAACAAGCTTTCTGACCCATATGCATGAGAATCCTCACGTTGAAGACCATCAGATTCAGGGGTTACCGAGGGTTTGAGAATCTGCAACTGATGGGATGCTGCACTAAACACCGCTATTTAGCAAATCTTTGACTAGTGACAAAAGAGTTATTCGAGAGCACTTTACTAATTAGAAAGTGGAGAAAAAGAGAAGGGTTGGTTATAGAAGACAAATAACTAAACGAAGGTTGGGATACCTGAGCAGTAGACCACTTATCATTACCCACTTTGCGGTTGGCAGCGCCATTCTGTTAAGCTCTGCAACGACCGAGGCAATATCGAATGGTTTAGCTTTTGAAAAAAAGAGCACAACAAAGCTAGAATGTACGATTTATGTCGAGGCGAATTTCGGTGTATCTCAGCTCTTACGATACAGCAAAAACGACAACCAGTCACAATGTCACTGTTTTGGTAGCGCTGAATTGTAATCACTTGTTCCTGTCGTAATTGTGTAAATAATGAAATATCAAACGAAACAGGCTGTTTTCTGCCATGTTATATCGGCTGAGATTCAGGGAAACCGGCCTTGGCATAAATCGTGCCTCTTAGCTTTGTTGTGCTCTCTATCTTCATTTGTACCTCGGAAAATAAATGTTCAATTTACGTTTACTTCAGTATTTACTGAAGCTTTACAGACGAGTGTTGTTATGGTATCCAGTCACTAAGCAGAAGAACGATTGGGATTCTCTTCTGAAGTCTCTTGTTCAGACAAGAACCTGGCCCCAAAGCAGCGAGTAAGGCGAAGTGGAAGCCCATCTGATCGGACCGATTAATTCTCCATCACTATACTGACTATGACGTCAACTAGAGTCAAAACCCCAGTCTGCTGCATGAAGGGACTGGATTTTGTCTGACCTCTCCCCTTTGACTTTCCAAGGATGACCATATCTTTGGTTTAATAAAAGCCATCCTGTGTGGCCTCCAAAAGACTAATTATGGTCGGGGGTGGGTGTTTAGGGTTGCGGTTGGTCACAATTCCCCTGCACCGCACGAAATGCTCCCATACTACCAAGCGTCTCAAAAAGCCTCCGCTGAGGAAGCCCTACTCACTACCTTCTCGTGGCAGAGGTGTTTCCCACCAAAGTGAGAGGACGAAAAGCCGATATCCGGGGCTATAACCGGGTTGGTGGACCACTGGTAGTTCACCTAGGGGAGTTCGCTAAAAACCCTGATTCCAAACCAACCAAGAGGAGGCGTACGAACCACACACACATCTTTTCGATTGTGGCAGTGGTCACCGGCTCGATTGGGCACTGAGGTGAATTGGGCACCTTAGACGTCTGACCTCGTCCGAAGGGCTAATGATCCGGTGAACTGGACACCGGCTCCCAATGGACTGCGGTTTTCACACACCACCCCGTTGCCTTGCGGGTCAGGTTTTCGCTAGCCGAAGGCTCCGGTTGTGGATTCCTCAAGAACATTCACGTGCCTTGGCCTGAGCAACCTGGCAGTATTCAGCCCACAAGCCAATTACGGACGGTTTTTCTTTTTTATAAAGATTATTCTACCATGATTTGCCTGGTACACAATCTGTCTTCAGACAAGCGTAAAATATAGTAATACAATCCAGTGTGGCTCGGTGGGTCACAAGGGTGAAAAGCCACCGTACGACGTCGAGGTAAAATATCTTTGCGATGGGTCCTCTTTAGGGGTTTGATCATGTCATCCGCCAACCAGAAACAGAACCCACGAGAAAATGTCTATCTCCGACAGGTTGTTCGAATGGGAGATGCGGCTTTGGGGGTATATGGATGATGGATGGTTTATAATGTCACCGGCGCAACAACTACATTTAACGGTGCGCTGGCCTTGTCACAGACCGCGACTACCATAAGAGACACTTAAGAAGCCGATCTGTCTCAGGCAGGAAACAGTAGTAGTAGTAGTAGTAGCAGTAGTAGTAGTAGGACTGAAAAGAGAAAGGTTTCAGATACAAATAAAAAGGCCCGCATCCAAAACATTTGCAGAGCAAGCTGATTGCATAGATGGATGTGTTTTCTTAATTACATGGTATAAAAAATATACTAGAGATCGTCGGATGAGGCAGTGAGCAAGCATCCTTTAAAGAGCACGAATATGTGATAAGTCTTTCAAACATATAAGAGACCTAACTTTTTGGTGAGTTCCTTCTCAAGTCATAAAACTTATATATATATATATATATATATATATATGAAAATAGTGGGAGGGTGTTGTGCTGGGGTCAAACAGTCGAGGTCAAATAATTGTAGTAAAGGAGTGGGGTAGGGACACGTTTGTCTTCAGTTCTCTTTTACTGCTTCAGTCTGGTTTGCATACTTAAGATCACCCTCGGTGCTAATTCCTTGTCACGCCATGCTGAGAATTACGATATAATGCACATAATCATAGTTTTCAGTTTGTTTGCACAGCCAATAACCTCGAAATAGTGCGAGGCGGCTTTGGTTGTTGTTCCTGTTACCCAATGAGGGATTAAATGAAGACTAAGAACAAGATGAAGTACTGAAAGCGAGAAAACTA